GAGCTATTTAAGGGCTCAAGTAGAAAGCAAATGTTTTGAGAATGACGATGGCAAAAATGTGCTTGACACATGGATATATGTATGCATTGTGATAAGAATTGTACAAGCCCTCAATAAAATGATTAAAACATGTTTTAGCTATTATGTCCATATGTATTAAGATACTAAAATTTGAGCTCTAATTTGCTAGAAATAAAAGATAAAAATCCTAGTCAAATACATTATAGTTGTAGAATCCTTAATATATAGATTTAAAATTGAAGTCAAGAAGGAAAAATTATAACAAACATGTGATAATTAAATAACTTGTATTCAAGTGATAATCATTCTTAAGTTTTAAATAATGTTAACTAGTAGTTATATGAATATAAAGTGAGTACATGGAATCCAAATGAAAATGAATATACAAATAAACATCTATAAGAGATATTTTAAGTATGTTTGTTTTAGAAAGCCTAACTTTTCAATGATTTTTATAAATATGTACTTTACCATTTTCCAAAATGAAATCTACAGTTTGATATGGTTTCAATATATATATTCCTGTAACTACCATCACAATCAAAACACACTCCAAAAAGGGTCCTTGAATCCTGGGTAGTCAATTCCCTGGTACCAACTCCTGGATCCTGCCAACTAATGGTCTGGTTTATATCACTACTGACTTCTGTTTTCTCAACAACTTCAAATAATCAGAATTATATGAAATATAACCAATATTCCCTATCTTCTTTTCCTTAGCATAATGCTAATTCATTCTTTTCAAGGAACCTGGTGGCATGGCGGTTAAACTCTCAGCTGGCTATTAACTCAAAGGTTCAAACTCACCAGACCCTGTCCAGAAAGATAAGGCAATCTGTTTTTGTAATAATTCACAGCCTCGGAAACCCTGTGCAGAAGTTCTGCTCTGTTTCTCGAGGATTGCTATGCATCTGAATTCAACTTAACAGCAAGGATTTTGGGGGGTTTCTTTATATTTCTTAGTAGTAATTACTTGAATATATGTACTGCAATCTCTTTATCCACTTACTATTTTATAAACATTGCTTTTATTTTATGAATATAAATTTTATATTATATTTTTATAAGTATATGCAAATGTGTACACATTTTCCTGGTGGCATAGCTGTTGTGTGTTGGGTTGCTAACTGCAACGTCAGCAGTTTGAAACCACCAGACTCTTTCCACTCCCATAAAGAGTTACAGTCTCAGGAACTCCAAGAGGCAGTTCTACCCAGTCCTATCGGGTCACTATGAGGTGGCATTGACTCTACGGCAATGCATTTGATTCTGGTTTTTGTAAACATGTGTGAGGGGGGGATGCTAGATGTCTGTACATTGAGAATATGTTGAACTTTTTAAGAAACTGGAAAAAGCTTTCAAGTCAATTATATCACTTACATTCCTATCAGCATGGAATTATAGTTCGAGATGCACTATGTATATGCATTGTATACCTTTTCTAGTTTCGACCTGAGAAGTATTTATATTTATAGTAGGCTTTATGTGGGCAGCATACTGCTAATCCTTGGGTTCACGGCCCAGTTGCCTTTTCTTTTCTTTGACTTATCCTCTTTGTTGTTGTGAGGTGCCATTCAGTCCGTTGTAACTCATAACTCCCCTACGTAAGACAGAACAAACCACTGCCTGACCTTGTGCCACCTTCATGGTTTTATGGTTGGGTCTATAGATGCAGCCACCGTGTCAATCTTTGTCAAATGTGGGATTTCATTAAATTCTGGTATGTTTTTACTTCAGACTATTAGCAGCAAGAAGAGCTCTAGTGGTGTTCTGGTTATGCATTGGATTTCGATCTGCAAGTTCAGCAATTTGAAACCACCAGTCGCTCTGAGAGAGAAAGACAGGGCTTTCTACTCGCATAACAAGTTAGAGATAGACGAGCCAGTCAGGGTGCAGTATAGCACCGATGAAACATACAACTTTCCTCTAGTTCTTGAATCTTTCCTGCCCCCCACTATCATGATCCCAATTCTACCTTACAAATCCGTCTAGACTAGAGCATGTACACGGGTATAGATAAGAGCTGGAAACACAGGGAATTCAGGACAAATAAACCCCTTAGGACCAATAATGAGAGAGCGATACCAGGAGGTAAGGGGGAGGTGGAGTGAAAAAAGGGGAACCAATCACAATGATCTACATATAACCCTCTCCCTGGGGGATGGACAACAGAAAAATGGGTGAAGGGAGACAAAGGTCAGTGTAAGACATGAAAAATAACTTATAAATTATCAAGGATTCATGAGGAAGGGAGGGTGGGAAGGGAGGAGAAAAATGAGGAGCTGATACCAAGGGCTCAAGTAGAAAGAAAATGTTTTGAAAATGATGATGGCAACAAATGTACAAATGTGCTTGACACAATGGATGGATGGATGTATTGTGATAAGAGCTGCATGAGCTCCCAATAAAGTGATCTTTAGAAACGAGAGAGAGAGAGAGAGAGAGAGAGAGAGAGAGAGAGAGAGAGAGATACAGTCTTGGAAACCCACAGGGGCAGTTCTACCCTGTCCTATAGCATTACTGTCATTTGGAATCAGCTCAATGGCAGTGAGTACTAGCAAGCAAAAAAAGCTTAAAAAAATTTGGGGGGGATCTGATAAAATAATCATAGGGTCTACAAAGTGCAAATGACAGAACCCATATTTCTGGATGCATATGACCCTGTGTTTGTGAAAAGGCTTAGAAAACAACAACATAAAACAATGTTTCTGATCTAACGAATAATGCTAATTTTTGTGTAGTGGAATCTTTTTGTTTTAATTTTAAACTTTTTACTGCAATGTAACAGAAAAATTCAAAAGTACTTTTTCAAAATATACCTGAATAATCATCATCTCAGTCAAGAAATAATTAGCAGTATACAAGAAGCACCTCTTATGCCTCACTCAGAAACCACAATTCACTAAGGAAGTGTGGCATCTTGACATCTAAAAGCAGGGGTGACTTTTATCTGTTGTTGGCTGTTATCTAAGTAGAATCATTTGTGCCTGGCTTCTTTCACATAATTCATCTATGTTGCTATGCATTGCAATAATTTATTTTCACTGTTGTATATTCATTTGTATGATTATACTATAATGTATTTACCTATTCTGCTAACTTAATTTTCAGTTTGAGCCTATCATTAATAATGCTAAGTAACATCTTTGTATATACCTTTTGGTGAACGTATGTGTACAATAAATCCTTTACGCATAGGGTCTGCACATGGTCACATATAGTTAGTATTTCCAATGAGTTACCCAAAGTGAGTGTACTAATTTACTTTCCCACCAGCAGTATATGTGAATTCTAGTTCCTCTACATCAAATATTGCCTTTTTTTTCTATTTTGGCCATTTGTGATGGCAATGTTGTGGCATCATGCTGCAAAATATACGAATATGATTTAATGCTAAATATCATAGGCATAAACAAGCCTTTTTTAAGTTCAGTAAAAGGTATCTCCAGCTTTCTATCTAGCCCATCAATAAAAGACAGTAAATTTCTCTACTTACAGCTTTCCTAAAATGTCAAGATTTACATTTTTCATCTAAAAGACGGAAAATCCATCCTATAAATTACCTCTATCTTGACAGAAGAAGGGGCCAGGGTATCTTGTTTAATGATTTATTTAGTGAGTACATACTCTTCGGCTGAACTCTATACTATGTGCAAGTGAAACCTGAAGGCATTACAATGCAGTGACTCAAAATAAAACTAATATTGATCGTGACTTATTATGGAACACATTATGAAAGCAGAAGTAATTCTAAGAACAAGTCTGAGTTCATTTTTCTCGTATAATACAGCACCTGGTCTGAGGCAATCCAAAACTGGTCCCAATACCGACTCGAGGTAGATAGTTAACCACTTTTTTTACTGTTGCAGGATCTGGGAAGTTGAACATTACAGCAACTATAAAAAAATAATTTTTAAAAAAATTAGAAAATCATGTTATCTTTTCAGAAAACTTTGTACAGTAACATATTTACTCTTAATTTGGATGCCTATCAAATCCAATTCTCATTTTATGCCTTATGTTAGATCAAACTTTAGTATTAATATGCCAAAGATGGTACTCATTTCACGTATAAACTCTTTTATCACAAACAGCTCTTTCTTTAACATGTCAGAAGCTCATATCATCAATATGATATGCAGCTGATATTATAACTTTTAGATAAATTCTATTTTGTAAAATCAAATATATTTCCATGAATTCTTAGAAAGAACCTTTAAAAATATTGAAGTTTATATAATTAATAGTCTATCATTAAAAAGTCTATAGATAAAGCTATTCCAATGGTGAACAGTTATTAAAATATTCTCTCTTCAAAGTTTGTTTGCATTTAATACAGCCTCATAGAATACAAAACTCGGTATGAGTTGAAAACAGACTTTTCTTCTATAGTTAATAGCCACAGTGAAGTGCTTTTTAATAGTATCTATTTTTAATGGTCATTCTGAGTATTAAGAGGCAAGTATCACTACATATATACTCAAAATAACAATCCTCATTTGATAACAAAAAGAAAAGAAAAACAAACAAACTAATTGATATTCAGATGAGTTGGATTCAGGTACCCTAAAGGACAAAGTAGAACCGACCGTGTGGATTTATGCGACTATAACTCTTAACTGGAACAGAAGGCTTCATCTTTCTCCTATAGAACAGCTGATGGTTTTGAACCACTGACCTTGTGCTTACTAGCCTAATATGTAACCCACTATACCACTAGAGCTCCATTAGATGTTCATCCATAAATTTTTATTCTTAAAAACATGAAAATAGCAAAGCCATAAAGTCATTAATATCAGAAGATATTAATTTGGTTGGTCTTGAATTTTAAATTATGTTTTAACTTCAATATCAGAACATTACCCAAGAGAGCTTCAAAAAGTTCATGGAAAAGTTCCTTTAGTTCTTAATTCCATTTTTCCACAAATGTTTTGGCGTTCTTGCACATGAGCTACAAATACTCCTGAGAAAACATGTTTCCTCTCTACCTTGCCTGAGAAAAACCCGCAAATTTATCAATATTGGTATAGCCAACATGATTCAGGTAAATTAATAATTAGCCATTTACTAAGGGACTACAATATATACATTCAATACAATGTATACGGAAACAACAGGAAGATGAAGGTTAGCTCTATGACAAACCACTTTCTACAGTACCTCTGTTTGCCATAAAGATCTCCAAGGCTGTATTTTGCAAAAGATACCGACGAGAAAAGATTGATCTTATCTCCGTAAATAGCCATTTTCCATGCAGCCCTTCTGTGTATGCCAGGATCTAATGAGGAAAAAAATCATCTCAAGTAAGTAACAATACTAGAATGTTTTGTTGTTGTTTCTTGTTCGTCCCATCAATTAAAACCAGGAGGGAAAATTCCTATCAATAAAAATAAATGCAATGAAAAAGAATTCAATAATAATTATTGAAATATTTCTGTAACTGGTTTGCAGTTACAATATTTCTGTAACTAAATACAACACAATACAAACTGTAGAACAAGGTGTAAAACAATACAAATATTTCTGTAACTGAAATATTACTGTAACTGGTTTGCAGTAATAAGAGGGAAAGAGCTTAAATTGAAAAGCAGAGTAAAATTAAGCATCCATTTCAAAATATGTTTTGACTTTTTAAAGCAATGACATGTTTTATATGAAAACACTGCATTCTTGATTGATCAATTTTTGAGTCATATTTATGGAACATTTCAGAGGAAACCTTAAAACTAAGGAAGAGCTAAGGAGAATGCCATACACTCTTATATGTCACATATAAAATTCAGTTTAACATGTCTATAATGTGAAAGCGAAGTACTCTTTGCTTACTTTATATATGTTAAATTCATAACTTAAAAAAAATACTTTTAAGGTCACTGTTGCACCACAGTCAGTCATTCAGAAAGCACAAAGGCTGACTGTATAAGAGGTTAAGTATCATTTTGTCAGCTAAGACTAAACATAAACCTGCAAATGAACTCAGCATAATGTCTCTGCAGAGAAGGCGGTTGTCAGAGTAACTTGTTACAAATCTTGTCGTCCCAAGTGACAGACACAGATGCTTAGAACGCTTTGCCAATTCAGAGTAATCCCGTCTTTAGCCCTAAGCTTCTTTGTCGCTTTGTTATGCATGTTTTGTTTTGGGTTTTTTTTTTTGTGAAACTTTATTTCAAAAGCTTAATTATGAAGGCATTAAAGAGAAAAGCAGATTCACCAATTCTCTACACCAGTATTTTACATAATATTAATAAAGAAAATGAGCTACATTTGCTAGCAGTACCTAAAGAAAATTCTTCCAGGCAATATAACTTTAAAAATGAAGTTGCGATTAGAAAAATAATAATTACATGAATAACAATGAGAAAAAGAAAATGTTCTAGAATTGAATATGGTAATAATTATACAACTTTCTTGCTATGAAATGTATGACATGTGGGTGAAGTGCTAATAAAACTTAAAAATTAATATTTTTTAAATGAAGTTATAGTTGTCAAAAGTAACCACTCACAAAAACTCGCCACACAAACTACACTGTTATTTTCTTTACTATTCTATTGTTTTCATCCTAAAAGGAAGCACATCTGCAATATTAAAAAACAAAACAAATACCACATTGTTACTCAGTAAATACAAAGTCACCATTTTGATTTTTTGTTAGAACTTTTTCTATTTCTGCCACTACTAGTCCCAGAAATGGAAAAACAGATTTCAAATAAGATTGATTTCTAATGACATAGAAATTCTAACTCATTCATACAACTGATACTTATAATAATGACGATCAAGAGAGAAGACTAAGTATGAGTACGGCCAAGACACTTTTTCTTTTTTTTATGCAGGGGAAAGCGCAAACGCAGTCCCCCACTGCCATAGCTTGTGCACTTGTTTCCGATCCTGATGCCAACTGGTCGTGGTCCTGACAGACAGGGTGGAGTAGAACTGCCCACGTGAGTTTCTGAGACTCACTCCCAACAGGAACAGAAAGCCTCAACTTTCTCCCAAAGAATGGATGTTGTTTCCTACTGTTGATCCTGCAGTGAGAGAATCCTGTATTTGCTCTGGAACACATATAGTCCAATATATCCAATTACTGATCAAGAAAATGTGGCCCGCGCTCATTCAATAATAAATTTTAAATTCCTTAACAAGTCAGTGACAGTGTCTCGGCTACTCTTAGATTTCCTAATCCACAAGTCTAGAGTTTCCATTGTATACAATAATAGCTTGTTCTAGGTTAAATTTTTGTTAAACTAGGATTGACTTCACCAAAATTTTAATCAATACACTTGTTTTCCAGCACTATTTTTCAGATTATAAATGAAAGAGAAAAAAAGTAAAGCTTTCCTTTTTTGCATTTTTTTTTAAGCTCAGGGGAAATGCTAGGAATATCACATACTAATTCTCAAATTTTACCTTTTGTATCCATGGAACTATGTAAGATAACCTCTTGATTATAATGTTGATGCTACATTACAAAGTCGTTGTCATTTAACAAAATAATTATATTATAGGATATTCCATTTATTAACAGAAATAGGGTCCTAAACCATTCTTCCAAGATTTTCAATGCACTGAAATAGTTGTAAGTAATGAGAAAATTATATTTATATCCCCTATTTTTAAGAAAAATGTTTAAAGATTTACTTGTAATATAGCAAGCAGGATGCTCCCTTGAAAATCAGTTTTATTATCCAATGTACAGAATACTCAAAAGTATTTTTTAAGAAATATCTCTATGTATCTACTACTTAAGGAGCCCTGCTTACAAGTTGGGCTGTGATCCACAAGGTCAGCAGTTCAAAGCCACTAGCAACTCTTGAGGGAGAAGGATTGGGTTTTCCACTCCAATAAAGAGTTGCAGTCTCAGAAACCCACAGGGGCAATTCTACCTTCTCCTATGGGTCGCTGTGACTCATTATTGACTCAATGGCAGTGAGAGTTGAAATTATCTACTATTCAACATTACTAAATCCTACCACTTGCCATATTATTGCATATATCTAAATTGATATTTCTATTCAGCATTATACATAGTGTTGGAATTTTCCTGATCCTAATTTCTTCCTCCTTCAGAGCAAACCACTACCTTTATTCTTGGGTTTATAATATCTGAGGGAGCCCAGGTGGTGTAGTGGTTATGCATTGGACTGCTAAGCACAAGGTCAGCAGCTCAAAACCACCAGCTGCTCCACAAGAGAAAAAGAAGGTTGACTACGCCCATGAAGAGTTATAGTCTCAGAAACGCATAGGGGCAGTTTAGCCCTGTCCTGTATATAGTGTGGTTATAAGTCGGAATTGAGTCAATGCCAGTGAGTTTTCAATCCCCAAGTAAGTTTTATATTAACGAGAACAACTTATCTGCCCCTGCCCCTACCCAGTTTCCGTGCCATCCTCACAATTACTGCTGTGTGGGCCCATTGTTGCAGCCACTATGTCAACCCAAGCATGATGTCATTCTCCAAGGACTGGTCTCTCCCGATAACATGTCTAAAGTAAGTGTGATGAAGTCTTCTCATTCTTCTCTGACTGTACTTCCGAGACAGAATTTTTTACTCTTTTCGTAAGTCCATGGTACTTTCAATATTCTTTGCCAACACCATAGTTCAAACTGGTCAATTATTATTCAATGTCCAACTTTCAAATGCATATGTAGGGGATTTCCCCCCCCCAAATGGAATTTTTATTTTCAAAGCTATGTATTTAAATTTTTTTATAAAACAACCTTATCAACTTCAAAATACTCTACATGACACATTACACATTAGTAAAATCTGCCATTCTATTCTTGGAAACATTTATCAAACTCATCTGGATTACTGAGAGCACCTTCCTCAATCTTTCTTCCCCTCTCCTATGTTGTCAGATAGCTGTCCTTTTAATGTTCCTACCTTCTCTGAAACAAAAGAAGTCGCATAAAGTGAGGCCAGGTGAGTAAGGTGCATGGGGCAAGAGAGGTATGCTGTTTTTTGCCAAAAACTGGCACGCTGAGATGGCTACATGAGCAAGTGCACTGTCGTGATGGCAAAATTTGTCTCCCATCTGCCACAAATCAGGTCTTTTTGTTGCACACTGTTAGGCTATCTTTTCAGAACCTCTAAAGCAGTGGTTCTCAACCTTCCTAATGCCATGACCCTTTAATTCACTTTCTCATGTTGTGGTGACGCCCAACCATAAAATTATTTTCGTTGCTACTTCATAACTGTAAGTTTACTACTGTTAGGAATCAGGTGACCCCTGTGAGGGTCGTTCAACCGCCAAAGGGGTTGCAACCCACAGGTTGAGAACCGCTGCTCTAAATAGAAAGTTTGATTAACAGTCTAACTTGGTAGAACAACTCCAAATGCACTATAAGCCGACATTTTTGTCCATTCGGGAAGTTGACATCCAGACATCCAGAGCTAGGTTTGTCATCAATCAATATTTCACCATTTTTGAAACAAGAAAACCACTCATACATTTCAGTTTTTCCCATAGCACCGTCCTTGTAAGCTGTGTTCAATATCACAACAGTTTCTGTTGCATGCTTCCTAAGTAGGAAACAAAATCCCACAGCCACAAAATATTCTCTTAAATCAGCCACCATGAAAAATGAAGTTTCGAGCAAAACTACTTTCATGAAAAAATTCACTGTGACCAGGGAGAACCTTTGCAGGTGACATCACTGGGTGCATTAACTCAGGGGGAGCGGCTTGATGCTCCCCTAGCAGGAAAAATGCATACTATAACAGCTCCGCCAAGCAGGGGTTTTTTTTCCTTCATTTTTGGGGGGTACCCCTCATATGAGGCAATTAGTCCTTAAAGTAATACATTACAGAGGTTTTGTATAGCAGATTTACTTAATACAATGGTCATCTGATCTCTTGACTGCTGCTTCCATGAGCATTGATTGTGGATCCACGCAAGATGAAATCCTTGACAACTTCAATCTCCATTTATCATGATATCTCTTTGTACTCTTATTACATTTATATTCACATTTGACAGCTAGCATTATCTGGTATGTTTTATACATGATATAGTAATATTAAATAGTAATGGTACATTAAATAAATAGTAATATTAAATAAATACTATTGTTTTCCATGTTATATATACTCAGGTAGTATAAAATTTCTAAACTAGGAAAAGGGATACAAATTATTTAATATTGTCAAAGGAAACAAAATATAAAACTTCACTAACAACAACTGATCTGATTTTTTTTTTAAAGAAAAAAAATCAACAAATAAAATTCTACAGTTATAGATGAGATAGTTGAGGATGACAAATAATAAAGAATCC